ATTTCAAAATTAGCGGTGAATACAAAAATGTGTTAAATCTTCAGAATTAAATAAAAATAACAAATTTGACTGAAATTGGATGAAACTGAATGAATTGGAGAAGACTTCCTTTATACGCTGAATTATTTTTTTTTTGACTATTCGACCTAGAAATGATCAAGTAAATGTTCGTTTAAGGCAGTGTAGTATTACCTTCTGGGTTAAGGTATATTTTGATGTTAATTAATAGAGATTTTGAGTTAAGACTGATTTTATTTTCTATAACTATAATAATGTAAGTTTTGCTGAGTAAGAATAATGTATTGTCTCGCTCACGCGACCGGATCTAGGATCTTTGACCCATCGCGTATTGCATTTGTTGCAAAGTTGCAAATAGCGGTTAATGACAGTACACCTTCCCCTCTTTCAAAGTAATAATTTTACAATATGATTAAATGCTTATTCTAAAATGCTTATACATACTAAAATTTATTGTATGGTACCATTGCAAATTAGTTTTAAATATTTTTTCTATACCTAATTAACCTATTATTATGAACATTTACATGCTTATTTTCTATTAGAATTGTCGAATTAACGCCATTTTGACTGATAATTCTAAATGGACCTGTATAAGGGGTATCTAATTTCTGCTTTTGACTTCTTTTTAACATAACTAGGTCATTAACAGAAAAATTAGATGGATTTGTACCTTTATCGTAATTGAGTTTTCGTTTTTCCTTCGCTTTATTAAGAAATTCTACTGCTCTTTTGTGAGTTTCATTCAATCTATATTTAAGTTCATTTGAGTAATCGTCTATGTTATATATTGGTGATATTTTAGTAAAATTGCATTTGGTAAATTTGCTATTTTACCAAAGACTAAATCGTAAGGTGAATAGTTTGTATCTGAGTGTGGTGTTACATTATATGCAAAAACATAGTATGGTAAAAATGTATCCCAATTAGAATATGCTGAATTTGTAACAAGATATTCATTTAATATTCTATGATTTCTCTCTAAACTACCTAATGATTCATGGTGATACGCTGTTGATATTAAATGTTTTATTTAAAAAAGTTTATTAATTGATTCTTGAAGGTCATTTACATATTCGGTTCCTAAATCTGTTTTTAAAATTTTAAAAATACCAAATTTCATCATAAATTCTTCAACTAAGGCTTTAGATATAGTTTTAGCATCTTTACTTTCCAATGGAATGGCTTGTATAAATTTTGTCAAGTTACATTGTATAGTTAGAACATATCTCATATTATTTTCAGTTATTTTCAATGGTCCTGCGGTATCCACTGAAATTGATTCGAAACTTGTTGCAGGAGTTTCTGTAATTACGAGAGGTTCAACAGTATGCTTGATTATTTTACTTTTATTACATTCTTCGCAATTTTTTATATGCATTTTTACCATTTTTGACATATTTTTCTACATATATTTTTGTTTTAATTTATTTAGAATTCGTTTTACACCTGTGTGAGCTCCTATTAGTGAATTATGATATTTTTCTATTAGTTCATTTTGAAGATCGGTATCATTTATTCTCGTTGGTGGTGTAAAAAATAATAAGATTTTTAGTGTTGATTTATATTTTTTATATAGTGCGTTATATTTTCCTTTGAATATAGGTACCTTTATATAATTAAATATATTATCTTTCATTGATAAACAGAAATAAGAGTAACTATCTAGCTTTGTATTTTCTTTTATCAGTTTCTCCAGTGCAAAATCTAGATTTTGCTCAAGATTATCACTTGATAATGTAATTCTCATAGCTTTATCGCACTTATTTATAAATTTTCTTTTTATCAATTGTGTTTGTGATTCTGAGCGCTCAGAATAATCTTTGTTTTTCTTGTCACATATTTCGAAAATTAATGTTTTTATTTTATTTATTTCAGTTAGAGACGTAACTTCCCAAATTCCCAGTTGGCCAGACTGGTTGTCCGAGACGTTCGGTTGATTTTTTGTGATAGTGTCATTCGATTTCTTTGTCATTGATCGTGTAGCGACGGCTACTGTAGGAATCATTGATTTTAGTACATCTGAATCTAACTTTATGCGTGATAAAGCATCGGCATTAGTGTTTGTTTTTCCGGGTTTGTATTGTATCTCAAAATTATAGTCTAGTAAGTCTAAACGCATTCTAGTCAATTTTGAAGACGGAGATTTATGAGTAAAAAGTCCAACTAACGGTCTGTGATCGGTAACAACTATACATTTTTGGTTAGCATTGTATAGATATGGGCGTAAATGTGTTATTCTCCAATAAATTGCTAATAACTCTTTTAGAATTACAGGTTTATTTATTTCATGTTTTGTCAGATTTCTGCTTGCGTAAGCTATCGGGAGAACACATCCCAACGCAAAATTTGAAGCGTCCGTAGTAAGAATGAAGGGTTTTGAATAATCAGCATATTGCAATATGGGTGGTTCGATTAATTTTTTTTTTAAATATTAACAGCTTTGTCGCATTCTGACGTCTAATTAAATATCTCATTTTTTCTTAATAATTTGTTTAGAGGGTATGCTATATCAGCAAAAATTGGTATAAATCTACGATAATAATTTAGAAATGCAATAAATCGTCTAATATCATCCGCATTTTTTGGAATTGGATAATTTTATACGATTTCGTATTTTTTTGGATCTGGACTAATCCCTTTGTTAGAAATTAAATGACCTAAATAATTTACTTCTCGTTGTAAAAAATTACACTTGGCTGTGGATTTAATTTTAAATTATATTTTCGACATCTTTCGAAAACATTAATAAGATTTGTATTATGATGTTTAAGGCTACATCCAAAAACAATAATATCGTCTACATACAGAAATGCACTGGTTTTGAGACCGAACAATGCTACTGTAATCATACGAGAAAAACTATTGGTTGAAATATTAAGTCCAAACGGTAATCTTTTATATTGGTAATGTCCTGAATTTGTAGAAAATGCTGTAAGAGCACGACTTTCTTTATCTAATTCTATTGTAGAAAAGTATTTAGCTCTTCCTAATTGATCTAATATATCTTCGATATTAGGCAGTGGAAATTTATCTTGAATTATTTTATTATTTAATTGTCTAACATCTACTCTACTCTACTACTCAATCGCCAATCTTGTTTTCCTGTGCTAGACTTCTTTTTTTACTACTAATAATGGTGAGTTTCCTGAGGGTTGAGCTATCTACCAGGCGCGTCCCCGGGTGGCGGATAGGGGAAGCCATAGGACCTTGGTTCTATGGCGAGGGTCGTCATAAGCAGGTCCACTGGGGCTAACCCCCTGGCTTGGGCCCCAGCGAAGGCACACCGCGGACCAGCTCCCACGTGTTTGTGCCGTGCGTGGCGACCCGTGTCGTCGGAGGAAGGGTACCTGGTGGTCGAGCAGGCCGTGCCTGCAACACGCCACTTCGGTCCGGAATTCGACTAGACGGGCGGCCCGGAACTAACCCACTCCCGGTCAATCGGCTGTGCTGTCCCGTCAGAGGGCCGGCAGGGTGAGCTTTTGGGGCAGGGGGGCGCGCAGGGGGCTGCAGAACTGAGCGTCGGTTGGCTCCGGCGTTCAGTGATGCACAACCCTCTCTCGACGCCGTTCTGCTTCCGGGAGCTATATCCACTTGGTAGCCCTGGTGACTGCTTGCAGCATCCCCTAGTTGGGCTCCGTGGTGGGTGGAGAGCCAGGTGGACGAATACTACCACAATCCTACATGGATAACAATAATGCCAAACCCCCCGCGGCAGAGCGGCAACGCTCGCTCCCATCAACAGCGGCAGAGCGGCAACGCTCGCTGCTACCCAAACCTGAGGCAGAGCGGCAACGCTCGCTACAGCCGGGACCATCGTCCCAAACTATCCCTCAAATGGGGGACAACAAAGAGCCCGAAAAGAAAAGAAGGGGCAGACGTATCTGTGGGGCTGAGTTCAAGAGGAGGCGGAGAGCGCGTGAAGAGGCGGCTAGAGCTGCAATTGCAGCTCCCTCCTCTGAACGCGCACCCACTCTTCGGGCGCAGCCTACAACGTCTGGGGTGCGTGGTCCTGTACGCGGCGGATCTAAGGGCCTGCCACCGTCTATGCGGGACGAACGCCACCCAGGCAAAAGTGGACCACTTTCCCAGGCGAATCCACCAGCCAGGAAGGGAGAGCATCCTCACGGAGTGCCACCCCATAAAAAGAGGAATAGGTCGGGGACCTCATCGGACACCACTCCGATGAGGTACAAGAGGGCAAAACAGGCCCCCCCCTCATCACTTCCAGATATAGCGATGCAGCCCTAGGTCATCTTAGGGTTGGAATTATTGATAAGGACAATCCCTATGGGAAAATTCCCAAGGATAGGGAGTCCATTATCAAAAAATTACTGCTGGTGGAGCTGGATAAAATTCTTCTAACTCCCGAAGCTACCATTAGACCACCTGTGTTTCGCTCGTGGACATACTCTGATGAGATCATCAGGGTTGTCTGCGAGGACGAGTACACACGGACGTGGTTGACGGATGCAGTGGGAAGCCTGAACCCGTGGGAGGGCAGTGCCCTAGCCGTGGTGCGCTCTGACCAGTTGCCAAGGCTGACGAAAGCCACTCTCTGGATTCTCGTGGTAGCTGGATGCGACCATGGGGAAAAGGAGGTGGTGATGCGTCAGGCGGGTCAGAACCCCACGGTGAGTGTGAACAGGTGGTGTCTGTTCCACCACGAGGCTAAGGATGACCCACGAGGCCACCTACTCGTCTTCGGAATCGGAGACGAGGACCTGAAAACCCTGGAGGCGAGGTCGATGAAGATGCACTACATCTTCATCGTTCTCAGAGTCAAAACACACAAACCTGCGCCGACGGCAACCTCCGGGCCGCTGGAGCAGATGGAAACGGAGGCTGGAGAAGCGGAATTGCATGCAAATGCAGTCACCTCCTCAACTCCTCCATCTCTGGCGCAGGGGGACGAAGAAATCCACCCCTCCTCTTAGGAGGTTAGAAGGATAAAAGATGAGGAACACCATATTGGATTTACAATGTTTGGTTTAACAAAGGTAAGTGTGGTACAGTGTAACCTGCAACACAGCAGGGCGGCAACGGCTACATTATGCCGCCGCCTTGATGTGGAGCAGGGTACACTGGCACTAATACAAGAACCCTGGGTTGTCAAATCCAGGATATCAGGTTTAAATAAACTAACTGGGCGTATTTTCAGCACACCCAACACATACAGGCCGAGAACGGCTATATACACTCCTCGCCATATCAAAACCCAACCACTACAACACCTTTCAACATCTGATCTGACCGCCGTGGAAGTGGAATGTGTAGTCAAGGGCAAACTAACTGTTGTTGTCATCGCATTAGTTTACCTCCCTGAGAGTTCGGCAACCCCACCACCAACAAGGGAGATGGAGGAACTGGTGGCACACTGTCGCACCCAGAAATGGGAACTTATCATAGCTTGTGATACAAATTCACACCATGTATCTTGGGGCAGTGAAGACAACAACACAAGGGGTAAGTCTTTATATGACTATATTAACGTTAACAACCTTTGTATAAGTAGTAGAGGCTGTGTACCGACATTTGTTAACTCAAGAAGTCAAACATTAATAGATGTCACGTTGACTACGGCGCGTATATTAATGTAATCCAGAACTGGCATGTGGCAGACACTGCCTCAATGTCAGATCACCGCTGGATAAACTTTAATATTAATCTTATCAAAACTCCTCAAAAACCGTTCCGGGATCCCCGAGGAACTGACAGGGATAAATACCTTTGTCACCTCCGGGAAAACCTGGCAGCGGTACAAGATCAGGAGCCCAGAAACAATGGAGAGATTGAGGTATTCGTGAATACTGTACAATCTGCCATAAAAAGAGCTTTATAACATCCTGCCCCCTCAGATCGGTTAGGCAAACCGGCGCAACCACGGGTTGGTGGAACCGGGAGCTGAGCAAACTGAGGAAGAAGGCCAGGATATCGTTTAACAAGGCAAAAATCACAAGACTCAGACTGGGAAATATACAAAACCCACCTGAGACTTTTCAAAAAACTGGTCAAGAAAAGACAAAGAGATGCATGGAGAGCCTACTGCGAGAAGATTGAAGACTACTCGCAGGCTGCTAGGCTATGTAAGATCCTTGCAAGAGAAAGATCATGATATAGATCTATTAACTAGAGAGGATGGCGTGAGAACCGCCAATCTAAATGAAAGTCTGGAACTGCTGATGCGGACCCACTTCCCGGGTCCACATCAATGGAACGGGAAGTTTGGCCAGACGAAATTGAAAACCCACACGCAGTCTTGGATAGGCAGATTGCCAACCAAACTGTAACTAAGGACAAAATTAGATGGGCAATGCAGATCACAGGCGCTGACGGTATATATCCGGCCCTCTTACAATGGGGCTTGGATGTTTTAATGCCGCACCTGGAGCGGATGTTTAGGTTGTGTTTTGCACACCTTTACATTCCAAAGATTTGGAGGGAGGTAAGTGTTGTATTCATTCCCAAAACAGGGAGGCTGGATTATACCTCCCCAAAGGCGTATCGACCCATCAGCCTGACTTCGTTTCTGTTGAAAACGATGGAAAAGCTGTGTGAACGATACATAAGGGATAGTGTGCTGATGGACAGACAGCCACACCCTAATCAACATGCATACACTCCAGGGCGATCTACCGATACTGCTCTCCATCAGGTGGTGGGCAGGATCGTGAAATCTTTGGACAACAAGGAGTCCACCCTAGGGGTATTCATTGACATAGAAGGGGCGTTTGACAAAACGTCCTTTCCCATAATCAACTCGGCTCTCACGGAGAGAGGGGTTTCTTCCACCATCTGCAGATGGATATCGAATATGATCACAAAAAGAGCTATACTAATCAGTGTGGGGGACGCCTCCGCAAGAAGAAGTGTTGCAAGGGGCTGTCCGCAGGGAGGTGTTCTATCACCACTGCTGTGGAACTTAGTTCTAGACAGTCTCTTGTGCCACCTCAACTCGGAAGGCATCTNTAAAGTAAAAAAGCTCGCATGTGAAGTTAAAGGATTCATATAAAAAGGGACCATCAGACTTTGACAACTGCAGAGGAAAAAAGATAATATTTATTTAAGACGTCCTGCTGACGTATTCCTTTACTACTGTAATACTACGCCGTTGTTGTGAATGAAATATTTGGGAAACAACATCGAAAGTGCACAGCAAAAATATACGATAAATTAATGTTTTTTTTTTGAAAATCCAAAAATATCCCAAATACTCCTTAAAACGATCTTAAATAAAACAAATTAAAAATTATATATTAAATTATTTTATTGACCAATGTCCCAGTAAATAAATTCAAAAATATTATAAAATTGATGTATATTTAATTTGAAAGAAGTCACAAATATGTGGCAATATTACGTGTTTTTTCAACTTTGCCCAAGAAAATCTAGACGACCTATCGCAAAATTAGTTATTTTATGTTGTAGGCACTTAAATTGCCTACAATTTAAGGTACCTAAATTCATATTTCACCCATTTGAACTGTAAAATAAAGGTCGAACTGGGAAAAATCAGTTTTCGAAAATTGCGCATTATTATTCCAAAAAGCAATGGATGTTGATTAAATTTATGGAAAAGACGGTTAATCCAATGACCAACATTTGTGCCAAAGGGCCAGATATTTGTTAATTAAATTCATTCGTTTTTTGCAACTAATTGTTTAATAATTACTAAACGTTAATTTTAAAAGTTAATATCGTAGATATAGGTACTAATTGATACAAGGAAACATCTCGAAAAAGAAAAATTAGTTGAAATTAAGTCGCTCTTTACATCTAACAGAGTAGGATGTGAAAAACAGCGTTATAAATAAATTATCTTAGTCAGACAAAAGCCGCTCGGGAATTCACTCTTTTTGCATTAAATCACGGATAATAGATGTTATCCACTGTGGCAGGGAACTGGATCAAACGTGTCCTAATGTGTTTCAAGTCGACGAAAACATTTTGAACAGTAGTAACATAACATTAGTACAAATTTTTTCTTGGTAAAAATTCAAATTAACATTTACTGATTACCTACATTTAAAATATCGAAATGTTCAATTAGATTTTTTCGATTAAAGCCACATCAGACAACATCATTGGTCGAGGTACACATATATTCGTGGCAGAGCGACCACCGCCGAAGACGCACGGGCCGTACAGAAAACCCGCGTCATTTTCCAATTTTGGGAAATAAAAAAATGTTTCCCAAATACGAAGAAATTCATGCCGAGGCAGGGCAACAGGAAGAGTACCTAACTACTACACCGAACGACAAGCCCGTGTATCGATATGGATCAAGTCCCTCCCAGGTCACAGAGAGACCAAAAGTGAGATTCTTAAGCAAGGATCCTTGCAGAGCCATGGCGGAGCCACCATGAGGTGCGATCGAACGTCAGCCTTTCACTCTGCAATTCATTAATCAGGTCAGATACCTCTCTCTGGCCAGTACGATCACTAATTTTCAAGCTCATTGTATTGCATACGTTTTCTTGCATATTACAAACTTATATATTCATATTAACAATAAACTCATTTCATATTAACAATAAACTCATTTTCATAAATTCAAAACTTTATTAAAAATTTTTGCGAGCGTACCTCTCAAAGACTAAATCGTCAATATGGTATCAAATCCGATAAAACCAAATTCCAAGTAGCTCAAATCCGCTCAGGACTTTTTGTTCCTGTGGCGAAGATTCTAAGGGATAAAACTATACTCCAAGTACTCCAAAAATTTGGTACTCCAAGGGGACCTNCATTGACATAGAAGGGGCGTTTGACAAAACGTCCTTTCCCATAATCAACTCGGCTCTCACGGAGAGAGGGGTTTCTTCCACCATCTGCAGATGGATATCGAATATGATCACAAAAAGAGCTATACTAATCAGTGTGGGGGACGCCTCCGCAAGAAGAAGTGTTGCAAGGGGCTGTCCGCAGGGAGGTGTTCTATCACCACTGCTGTGGAACTTAGTTCTAGACAGTCTCTTGTGCCACCTCAACTCGGAAGGCATCTTTACCATCGCTTAAAGTGGCGTGAGGACCATGCTCTGTCAGTGAACCCTAGGAAGACGGAAATGGTCCTCTTCACGAGGAAGAGAAAATTGGGGCCAACAAAGGCACCAACTCTCCTAAACACTACGCTAAGCTTTGCATCTGATGTGAAATACCTAGGGGTTACACTCGATGCAAAGCTAACATGGAATCTACACTTTGAGAGAAGATTAAAAAAGGCGTACATATCCTATGTGCAATGCCGCGGAACCGTTGGCAAAACCTGGGGCATGAAACCAAATGTGGTTATGAGGATATACACTGCCATAATGAGACCAATGTTGGCCTATGGGGCTGTCGTCTGGTGGCCGAAATCCCAGCAGACGACAGCTAAACAAAAGCTCAGCCAAGTACAAAGGGTTGCCTGTCTGAGCATAACTGGAGCTATGCGTACAACACCTACCATAGCAATGGAGGTAATGCTGTATGGATACCTCTGGATATCTATCTAAGAGAAATGGCTTTGACAACCATGCTTCGCCTCGAGAACATTGGCTTAAAACCGGTTGTAGGACGTGGAGAAGTCAGAAGTCGCCTGTGGAATGAGGTCGTCAGTATTTCTCCCCGGTTTGCATTTGACAAACCCTACACCGTTCTCATTAAGAGACAGGAGGAGACCGCCCGTGGAGATGTAATTAGCATCACAGACGGATCAAAAAGGAAGGAGGGTGCAAGATGTGGAATATACTCTAGATCCCTGCACATCCGATATCAGTGGGCAATGGATAGGCATGCTACCGTTGTACAAACGGAGTTAGCCATAGCCGCGAAGGAAATTGCCCGCAGACATACTACGGGCAAAATCATCAGAATCTACTCGGATAGTAGACAAACACTCCAGTGTGCTTCCGTTGTCGGCACTTGTTGGAATTATCAAGGAAGACACCCACAAAGAATTTATGAAACGGTGGGATGAAACAATCAGCTGTCACTTTGCTAAGGAGTTCTTAGTGTATCCTAGCAAAGGGGCTGTGAACAGGAAGACGAGACGGTGTTGCATTTACTATGCGAATGCACTGCCGTCTCGTCAACAAGAGAGTCCATGTTGGGAGAACGCTGGCCTTCAATGGCCTATATTAGAGAGACCCCCCTGAGCAACGTCACCACCTTTTTTACTGTAATAGGCTGGTTGGCGGCTTAGGTGGCTTGATCTCTCTAATGGGAGGATGTACAAGGGGCCCAATGGGGCCTAAGTGATGTACTTTTGCTACCCTCCCCACAATTCCAGATTCCAGATTCCAATGGTGAGTTATATGGACTAATAGAGTGTTCAATTATATCAGTTTTGGGTAATTACTCTACTTGCTTTTCGATTTCGTCCTTTTGTGATTGCGGTAATTATATATACGGGATCATTATCTGATATTCTGATTTTCTGTTTGTAAAAATTGTTGGCTGAAAGATTATCACCTTTTAAGTAAAAAATGTCATTGTATTCTTTACAAATAGTTTTTACCTTTTCCAACGCATTCATATCTACATTATTAAATTTCAGTTCCTCGAATAACGCGGTTATTTTATGACTAAGCTGCGAATTGTTGTACTCGTTTATCGCTGTTGT